AATATCCTCAAGTCTTAAAAAAACTCTATTACAAGGCTTACAATAAAAAGCGAGTTTCATTTTATTACTTTCTTCTTCCTTTTTTTTCTTGGTCGGTATCGTGGTCTTCACATAAAAACTTCTTAAAACCTCCGGTTTCTTTTCCACATACTTTACATACGGCTATACCATGTTTATCGCGTTTGTGCTGATGCATTGCGAATGCATCATTAAATACTTTGTAGTTACATTCAGAACATTGTAAATAATTTTTTTCATTCTGAACTTCATCTCGGATGTCTCGGTCTCGGACGTGATCGATAAAATATTGGAGAAATTTTAAACAAAGTTGACATGATTGTTGCGGTTGAGTTTGATGATCAAGGTTTTTTATATGTTCAGGTATAATCATTTTTTAATACAGTAAAAATGTTGCGAGTTATTTTATCGTTATGTGAAATGAACTTTCAGGTGAAAGTTCAACAGTCGCTAAAAAAAACTTATCTTTTATTTATATTAAGTGATTGTTAAAATTTATATCAGGGGTGCACTAAAAGTATAATTGTTTCAAGCTTCCCGATTAATATATCATACAGTAGTTGCGGAAAGTGATAATATTGGTTCCTTATTGATCACAGTAATGATAAAATTTAGTCACAATGACATCGGATAAAAAGTCACCTTTTTTTTGTTTTTGTTCAATTAATCACCTTTTATAGCATAAATTAAATTCTATTGAATTCTATTTCGGTGATCAAAAGAGATCTAAGATTACGCATAAGTCCGTTTGCTCCGAAAATACGTAATTATGAACTTCTGAACTTAGTATAGTTAATCAGAAAAATATAATGATAATACGACCGGATAATCCAAAATTTTAATTTTAGATACTATCATACAATAATACAATTATACAATTTGGCTGGTTTGCTTTGTCTAAATACCCCTATTTTGTTATAAATTAGGATATTTGAAGGTCCAATTTCTAAATATAATTTGAATATTCAGATAAAGGCAAGTCCAGGATTTATCCAAGTTAGTCAATAATATGATTGATTTATGAACAATATCAATATTGTTAACGCAAAAATGATCATATGCAGCATTCATGATGATTTTTGTAATTTATCCGATAAACTGATCGTGATTCCAGACTTCGAACGATTATAAGGAATTCGATCACATTATTAGAAAACTCGGGAGCCCATAGTCGTTGTTGTAAGGAGCACTGCATCAATGTAAAGGGGCTGGCTGATGCAGGAGGCGTTGATAGACGGCAGATGTTATACGGACTGATCGATCGAACGTTAACACGATTATGTAACATAATGAGGGGCTTTCGTTGAGCTTATTCCAGTCTTTGTCTAGCCCTGCTATTTTATCTAATTTAATTAATATATCTTTTATATTTTTAAACATTAATTTACTGATTTATCTTGGATCAAAATGAACGTCTTACTGAGATGATTCCAATAAACCTAAAAATTACTAAGATTTAAAAAAAATTAGTTTAATCTATTTTTTAATATTTAAAGTAACAAAAATCGTTAACAATTCTAAAATCCTGTGATTGGATTTTGCCCATTGAAATCGTCTCAGATGACTGTCATTTTGGTGATAAAATTGTTCGAAATGGTCCAGTGAAAGTTATTCACTTATTACCTCTAATTGGATAATATTTATTTTACACGGTTTGGCTATTATTGGACTATGGTGCGAACCATTAAAGACCAAAGAATGCCGCAAATTACATATACGCCACGGAGTCGAACACAAAGCCTAGTTTCAAAAATTTTTTCAATGCGCCTTCAAACTTGTTCATATGACTTCACGGTCCAATTATCATTGCTTGCACCACATAATGTCACTCTAAAATTTTGTTACGTTTTTCTAAAAATTGCTACTAACCAACGAATATTACAAACAGTATGTAGATATTATACAGAACTATAGATCTACGTGTTGTTTTTGTGAACTTTGGAATATTCATTGAGTAGCAATTTTGGATGTCATTAGATGGTTTGCACCATAACGATTTAATGCTAAGTTTAGCTTGACTAACTGCATTATCGTAATAAGTTCCGAAGAGAAGCTTTTTTTGCTTCAACATCTTAAGTATCTTTCAACAAATATATACGTAATTCAATAACTAAATAAGTTATAATCATTATTCTTACAAATTAATATAAAATTAAATCTAAATCATTGTTAAAGTAAAATTTAAAATTTTTAATTTTTAAATAATATGATTGCTTATAATATTAAGTCAAAAAATTCATGTTTTATTTTCCGAGATTGATAAACTACACTATCTAAAACAAACTGTCCAAGATTCAAGATTTTGTTTAAAACTAAACAAGTAAGCTTATCATATTAGTTATTTTTAAGCAATTCAATTAAAGATTTGATTTTTAATGATTCGATTTTACATGATTTGCCTTAGTTTATTATTAAAAATTATAAATCTAAAATTTTTTTTAAAAAAAAATGCAATTTTTGCCGATGAAAATGTTGGTTTGTATAGGTAATCACCCAAATATTTTCTAATTATTTCAATAAAAATTTCAATTAAAATTCTCAAATATCATCACAGATTTTTATACGATGGCAATCGAAAAATCTTTAATCCGTTTTTTTTTTTTTTTTGCTTTTTTTCTTTTATTTGAAATCCAGTCATGTTTAATTTTTTTTTTTGAAATCAATTGAAATATAAATAACTTAAAAAGATAAATAAAAAAAATAAAACTATGCATACAAAAATCACTCGTTTATCAAGATTTTTCAATATACTACAGTCGGGCACATTACCAAAAATGGGACGTCTAAAGCGGAGGCAACTTATATTTAATAATTTTTTCGATTAATTTAGGGTTAGGGTCTTCTATATTGGGG